AAAAAAAAAAAAAAAGAGGAAGAAGACAGCGGGGTGAAGGGAGGCGAGGGAGGTGACGTGAGGAAGAAGGTTGGCGAGGAAGAGGAGCCGGCAGCCATAGCTGACCGGAGGGTTGACCAATAAGGTTGACCGGGGGTGTTGACCGGCGGTTACCGGAGTTGACCGGGGGTTGACCGAGGGTTGACAGCAGCGTTGACCGGCGTTGACCAAGGCCATTGACCAAGACTTTGACCAAGCTGGAGTTGGTAACATCTCGCCAAGCCCTTAGCCTACCCCTTGCCCTATGGATGTGCACCTACCCCTTGGTACTTGCTGAGTACAGTCTGTCTGTCTATTCTTTCTGCATCGAGTCTCTTCTCTCCTAGGTGATAGTACTCTGTGAATGAAGGATAGGGCCTGTATGACGAAACCCCTATCTGACTTAGTAGAGCTGATACCGTGTCTAATCTCACTGTCCCGGAGGCCTAACCCTCCCAAGGACCGGTGCTGACCGGCGAGGCTCGGATTGGGCGTGACACGGTGGACTTGAACAGCGGAGACGTGGGCTGATTCAACAGGCAGTCTTAAGTGTTGAGGGCCTTGTTGACCCAACCCCCTACGGTACCTAGTAAGGCTAAAGGCCGTGTCTCACGACTCGACTGTCCCGGAGGTCAAACCCTCGCAAGGACCGGTACTGACCGGCGGGCTGCTCGGTGTGGCACGGTAGGCCCGAAAGGCTGAGTTGTGGGCTGATGCAACAGGCCAGACCAAATCTGATTACGTCGTCCTGTCTGCGACGTTAAAGAATTCTTGCAGAGTTTGGGGGATCTCCTTAAATGCCTCCTGATCAGCAAAAGGTCTAGTAGTGACAGCCATAGTCAGGTCTAGGCTAGAGACCATAGTTGACAGGATCCTTGTCAGGATTCTGTGAGTCCTTAGATTGAGTCAGTAGGTCTGTCAGTCAGGGGTTAGAGTCAACGTGGTGAGGTTTGGAACCGCCACCCGGTTGTGCACTTATCACCATGGTTGAGACCCGCGGTGGGACGAGTACTAGCCCCTACACCCAGGAGCAGCAAGAGAAGATGGCCGCCATAGTGAGAGAAAACAGAGAGAGGAAGGAGCTCCTGAAGCAAGCGAAGTTGAAGGCTATCGCAAAGGAGCAGGCGGCGAAGATGAAGGAGTTGGAGGAGGAGATGGAGAAGAAGAAGAAGGCTGCTGAAGAAGAAGCGGCAGCAGAAGCAGAGGCGGAGAGAAAACGAACGGGGAAGGAAAAAGAGAGCAGTGGCGCGATTAAAGCAGCAGCAGAGATGGAGAAAAAAATAAGTGAGTGGATCGCTAATTTATCGTTGGGGGAAGATGAGGAGGCCGAGTTCTATGTCCCAAAGGATGAGAGGGATGCGTTGGCCAGCCAGCTAGCAGCGATGGAGGACCCTCTGGAACGAAGGGAAAGAGAAGAGGAGAAGAAATTGGAATGGAAGTTGAGGATGAAGAGAGAGAAGAAGAAGAGGAGGGAGCAAGTTAATAGGTTGACCGCGGAAGTGGCAAAAGTGCAGGATTGTAGGCGAGAAGTGGGAGCACAGGCAGATATTCTGCCAAGATGGACAAGATGTTGGGTTACCTGGAAGTGCTGAGCGCAGCCTGGATGGCGGAGCGCCAGGCCAGTTGGAGTC